CAGAATGTCAACTGGTACGAGTCAAACAATCCACTTCCCTATTCTCAAACACAGGTACTTATTATTACCCTATCAGCAATTTCAATCAAGATTTCCATCTGTTGGTGGTAATATAACCAGAATATGATGTTCCACATGATGGGAGGTCTTCAGGTCCTTGAGATTGCTTCTGTAGTAACAGAATCAGTGACCCCTTAAATGTTTTACTATTAACAACAGTTGGGTTATTAGGATTTTCATGCTTAATTTTGAGGTATGCGAAATGGGCTTTAACGTCTTATCTGCATGTGGCTGCTTGTACTAGTCTCCAGACTAATGCTCATTTTATAGTGCTAGCCCACTGATTTACCATGCCGTAGTTTAACCTCAGTACCCCACTCAGACACTGTATACTGACTCTGAACCGACCAGCCATTGTTTCATCAACTCCAAAGAGCTTGGTTTATAAGAATTACTGTCCTATTTTGGTCTTATGGTATGACACAGCCCAGGATTAAACCTACAAACCTTCCCCTGTCAGGGCAGACACTCTATCCGCTAGAGTGAGTGAGTGAGGTTTTACGCCACTTTTAACAATATTCCAGCAATATCACAGCGGGGGACACCACAAAAGGGCTTCACACATTGTACCCATGTCGGGAATCGAACCGGGGTCTTCGTCGTGACGCTTGAACACTTTAACCACAAGGCTACCCGACTGCCCACTATCCGCTAGACCATGGTGGTGCTTGATTTTGAACACTGGACACAACATCTACTGTGCAGTCCTGATCTGACAAGACCAACAGAGGGCACTGAAGACATCACTCAGGCCAGACGGCGGCAGTCTTATTACTCCGTATTGAGATGACGAGAGCCATGAGTGAGTGGCTGCATACAGCTCAGTTATCAGCCTGTGGTTATGAATCAGAGGACAAACACTATCAGCTGAATCAACTCCGAAGCCATATGATTTCTCCCAGGGTCAGGACAATAACTGCAATCATCAACACTAATTACTCGCTGTTGGAGGAGCTGGCTTATCGACAGCCATATGGCCAGCGGTGTGCAAGTGCGCATGCATGTGCATGCATGATTGTGCATGTGCTGTGTTGAACGAGCGTGTGCCGGACACCTGGGTATATATACAGTCACATCCTGGGTAGAAGTAGGAAGTGACAGGCAAGTTTTCATTGATTGCTTCAGGAAGTGCAGTCCTGACAACTCCCTAACCTTGACAAGGGACTCAAGTTACGCTCCTTACAATTTGATACACAGTGTGTGGCTCTGTATTATTTCATGATAAGAATGTTCCCAAATCTCTGCCCTTCAGTTCACAGCTATTCTTTACAGAAAGTCTATCGAAACAAACCTCTTGGATCAACTTAAATTTCTTGTGCTTTTCATAAAAAATTCAGAACTGTTAGTGGTAGGTAGGGAGAGAGCAACCACAGGACCATGTAACTTATAATTATAACAAACAAAGCGATTTCCACCCTTTGCTAGTTTTTTGCAAGTTTGTTTAATATTATTATTAGTTACATGGTCCTGTGCCCTGTTATATTCCCTTTTACACGTAAGACATGGCCGCTAGTCAATTAGTCAGAAACTAGTGAAAATCCGGAGGGACTAGCTGTTTTCTTCTCTTTCTAAATATATGTGACCAACCATGAGATAAGGGACCTTATGGGTGAAAAGTCACATTTTTACGTCTCATTATATTTAAAAACTACAATATGTTAGGAAAACAAAAATACAATTCACAAGCTTCGATTCATATTTATTACAATGATATATGGCATCAAACATTTGGACTCATTAACCGACTTTAAACTGTTGATGTAATAATTGCAGTTTTTAGACATAATGTCTGATTAATTGAAATAGACATGTATGCTGAAAGGTTTTGAAATAACGTTTCTATTACATACAAATTAACAAGAGAAAAATAATATATTTTGTACAGTCTGCACATTAGGCGATTTTAACTGAAGTAAGTTGACATCGAACGTCTTTATGACATCACAGCACAATTATATCCTAGCACCCATAAGGTCACTTTTCTTCGGGTGGGTCACATTTTGTCACTCTGAGGGTACAGATGTTGTTTTAGCTTACACAGCCTACTGTCTGTCCTACATATGGTATAAATACATTTGGCACTACCTTATATTATGAACACTGTAAAATGGTCAAGGCAGTTCTGTACAACTATGAATATTACTTTCACAAGGGAAGGGCGTAAAGTTGAACATCTCATATAAAAACAATAAAGTAAATCTTATATAAAGTATATTAAAGTATATCTAAGCAATATTTGTAATTACTGCTCAGGGTGCCGATGTACAAAGCGATCTTAGCGCTAAGGTGATTGTAACCCATACCTTAGCATAGACTTACGACAGTTGTAGCGCTGAGGTTGTTTTGTACAACAGCACCCAGCACAATAAATTAGAGCAAATTTTTTATCAAACACATAAATAATTCATGTTTATGGCTGCCTCTTCATAGTAAAAGAGAATTTAGGATGACATAAGCAAGATATTTATTTCCAAATTTATATTGACATAAGCCACTTTCTTGAAACGACCTGTTGGATGAAGCTAGTTGGATACGATCAATGGCGTCTGCCCCTGTCTACAATAATTCAGCCTTCCTGGTTTTATGTTTTTATCCTAAAGAACAGTCAGCATTGTCAGTACAAGGTTCTCCTGCTGCTGGTTAAGTGTTTGATGAAGTCTGATTCTCTCAAACTCATCATATTCCTTGGTAGGCATGACACAGCCATGTTCCTTGGGAGAGGTATGACATCACTGGACCTTGGGTACACAGGACACAGCCCTGTACCCTAGGTAGGAGTGACACTGCCCTGTACCCTAGGTAGGAGTGACACTGCCCTGTACCCTAGGTAGGAGTGACACTGCCCTGTACCCTGGGTAGGAGTGACACTGCCCTGTACCCTGGGTAGGAGTGACACTGCCCTGTACCCTGGGTAGGAGTGACACTGCCCTGTACCCTAGGTAGGAGTGACACTGCCCTGTACCCTGGGTAGGAGTGACACTGCCCTGTACCCTGGGTAGGAGTGACACTGCCCTGTACCCTGGGTAGGAGTGACACTGCCCTGTATCCTGGGTAGGAGTGACACTGCCCTGTACCCTGGGTAGGAGTGACACTGCCCTGTACCCTGGGTAGGAGTGACACTGCCCTGTACCCTAGGTAGGAGTGACACTGCCCTGTACCCTGGGTAGGAGTGACACTGCCCTGTACCCTGGGTAGGAGTGACACTGCCCTGTACCCTGGGTAAGAGTGACACTGCCCTGTACCCTGGGTAGGATTGACACTGCCCTGTACCCTGGGTAGGATTGACACTGCCCTGTACCCTGGGTAGGAGTGGCACAGCCCTGTATCCTAGGTAGGAGTGGCACAGCCCTGTACCCTGGGTAGGAGTGACACTGCCCTGTACCCTGGGTAGGAGTGACACTGCCCTGTACCCTGGGTAGGAGTGACACTGCCCTGTACCCTGGGTAGGAGTGACACAACCCTGTATCCTAGGTAGGAGTGACACAGCCCTGTATCCTGGGTATGAGTGGCACAGCCCTGTACCTTAGGCAGGAGTGACACAGCCCTGTACCCTGGGTAGGCATGACACCCCTGTACCCTGGGTAGGCATGACACCCCAGTTACTCGGATAGGCATGACACTTCCCTGTACCCTGGGTAGGCATGACACCCCAGTTACTTGGATAGGCATGAGACTTCCCTGTAACCTGGATATTCAATTTCTACACCATTCAACAGATGACAAACTCAGTAGTCATCACATCACATCACCCCCTTCCCCACCCCATATAATCATCCCATCACCCCCTTCCCGACACCATAGTCTTCACATCCCCCCTCCCCCCCCCCATGTAGTCATCACATCATCCTCTTCCAGACACCATAGTCTTCACATCCCCCCCCCTCCCCCACACACACACACACACCATGTAGTCATCACATCATCCCCTTCCCTGCCCCTTGTAGTCAATACATCACCCCACAGTCATCACATCACCCCCTACTCCTACCTCATATAGTCATCACATCACCCCTTTCCGACCTCCCATATAGTCATCACAACATCCACTTCCCCCAAACCCTATAGCCCACACATCACCCCCTACCCCTACTTCATATAGTCATCACATCATCCCCTTCCCCCACCCCCTATAGCCCACACATCAACCCCTGCCCCCTGCCCCCACCCCATATAGTCATCACATCAACCCCTTCCCCCATCCCCATCACATCACTCTCTTCCCCCACCCCCATCACATGAGGCCCTTCCCCCACCCCATATAGCCCACACATCACCCCTTACCCCCGCTCATACAGTCATCACATCACCCCCTTTCCCCACCCCTTATAGTCATCACATCAGCCCCTACCCCCGACCCATATTATCAGCACCATCCCCGAGGACAGCACATGTGCCTCCTCCCACACAGTCTGTGTTCCACGCTTTCTATCACAGTGTCACTGTGACCTGTCTCCTCAGACAACTATGGTGGTGACCAAGCCTTGTCGTACTTCCCTTGCAGCAATATCAATAATATCATCCTTAATGATACACCATGCTCCCACTACTATTCTTTACCCTCATGTTCCTCTCATGCAAAAGGTCAAGAACACTGTCACCCATATCGCATCTGGAGGTCCCTTTTTTCAGAATTATTTGTATTGACAACTGCCTCCTTCCCCACTTGCATCCTATGTCATGTAAATGTTCTCTCTGCTATTGTAGTCCCAGATACCTACACCGTTAGTCACATCTTCTTTAATCCTCATCTTTACAATACGAACATGAAAACAAATTCTTCCTAAATTTAAAGAGCTACCCAATATCTTTTAATACCCCTATATACAGCCTACTGACTCACTTATTAATACCTTTAAACAAACCATGTAGGAGAATACCTTATTTTACGATTATCTCATTACATTATAGCTCCATAAACCATTCATGACAGTGAGACTTACTTTTCCTGTATAACAACTGGTGTGTCCGGTCTCGGCAGGGCCTCTAGTACAGGGTAAGGTTCATCCTGGTAGTGAACTCTCACCCGAGGATCTGATGCTTCTCGGACCGGGTAGAGTCCGTCCTGGTAATGTACTATTCCATGGGAATCGGGTGCATCGGATACCCGGTAGGATTCTTCCTGATATTGTACCATTCCATGTGATTCGGGTGCATCTAAGACCGGGTAGGGTTCGTCTTGGTATTGAACTGTACTATGAGAGTCGGGTGCCTCTAGCACAGGGAAGGGTTCATCCTGGTAATGCACTATTCCATGGGTATCCGACTTGGTGGGAAACACCTCCCACTCCTCCATACCATGTGGCCAGCCGGCCCCCGTGCCAGGACTCCGGCCAGCCAGTCACTGAGGGTGAGTTGGGGGGTCAGGCACAGACGGGCAGGGCAACTTATCCTGTACCCATGACAAACACTTCACAAGGAGTAGATCCACACACAGTCTCTCTCACCTCTCTTGCAGTGCTAGCAACTACCTCTCACTCTCTCTCACTCACTTGAGTTTGTAATTATCCTACTGCTCTCTCACAACATGTGCTTCTGTTAAGGCTGCTGATTGGCTGCTGCCTCACAGTGGCAACACGGAAACTGAGATATTGTGTTTCCGTGGGAACTGAGTGAATCACTTGGAGAAGGTGTCCCTTGCCATCTCCCTGTGTGTTGTCCCTGGAGGCCGGGATGCCACTACACAGATGTCCGCTTGCCCCTCTCTCTATCTCCCCCAGCATCCCCAGCCAATTACCCCAGGCTTCTCCGTCAGGCCAACTGCCCCATACCATCATCTGGGAGCTCACACAAAGAAAATTAGCATTGCAATTCAGACCACTATTAATGGCACCAGTAATTTGATAATGGAAAAAACATGGAAAAAATATTCATGACTGGCATTCTTTCAATCAACAAACAACTGTGAATGGAGATCATTCTAATTTCCTGCTGGAAGCTGGCATCCCCCTTGTGGTGTAATGTTAGGGGGAGAGTGAGGGGGGACAGCATGGCAATGAACAGCCCTGCCACACTATCCTAATCACTCCAACATCACAGGAGACAATCAACACGTAAAAGTCGGTTTAGGGAATTCATCCCTGAAATCCTAACCCAATAACTGTGACATTGCCTTGCCTTGTAAATGGCATCAATATGAGTGCCTTGATGAAATACTATGACACTGATATTATTAAGCTTTTGCATCCGGTTTAAAAATTGACAAGCTTTCTCTTCTCAGTCTCTAGATACAATGCCTTATCTAAGAACTAGTAGCGTGATTTCTGCACTGAGTCATTCACAATTATGCTGCATACAAATCCCCCGATACAACTGATCCATACACAAATAATGTCCTCCAATAATGGTGAGCCATAAACAAGGAACAGCTACACCCGGATCAATATATGTTGCAGCATCAGGACACACTGTGATAAAGTTGAAAAGAAATCCTCCTCCTGTACTAGATCAAATTTACTCTTGCAGGAGAACCTGTTTCCTGTGTGAGTAGATTAACACGTTCTGGGTACTTCCCACTGCAGTATATGGATGCAGGCTCACTACGGAGTGATTATACTTGAATGAATGTGCATATATAGACATAGTGAGGGGTAATACTCAAACAGTGTTTTAAATTAAGCATGACAGTCAATGGCTCTTTACATATCTTTACATAGACTATGTAGAATGTGTATACAGACGGCCAAATATCCAGTATCTTTACAGAGACTCTATGTAGAATGCGTATACAGACGACCCACTATCCAGTATCTTTACATAGACTCTATGACGAATGTGTATACAGATGGCCCACTATCTTTACATAGGCTCTATGTAGAATGTGTATACAGATGACCCACTATCCAGTATCTTTACATAGAGTCTATGTAGAATGTGTATACAGACGACCCACTATCCAGTATCTTTACATAGACTCTATGACGAATGTGTATACAGATGGCCCACTATCTTTACATAGGCTCTATGTAGAATGTGTATACAGATGACCCACTATCCAGTATCTTTACATAGACTATGTAGAATGTGTATACAGACGATCAACTATCCAGTATCTTTACATAGACTCTATGTAGAATGTGTATACAGACAACCCACTATCCAGTATCTTTACATAGAGTCTATGTACAATGTGTATACAGATGGCCCACTATCTTTACATAGGCTCTATGTAGAATGTGTAAACAGATGACCCAGTATCTTTACATAGACTCTATGTACAATGTGTATACAGATGGCCCACTATCTTTACATAAGCTCTATGTAGAATGTGTATACAGATGGCCCACTATCTTTACATAGGCTCTATGTAGAATGTGTATACAGATGACCCACTATCCAGTATCTTAACACTGAATCTATGTATAATGTGTATACAGATGACCCACTAACCAGTATCTTTATAAAGAATCAATGTATAATGTGTATACAGTTGGCCCACTATCCAGTATCTTTACATTGAATCTATGTAGAATGTCTATACAGATGACCCACTATCCAGTATCTTTATAAAGAATCAATGTACATTGTGTATACAGACGACCAACTATCCAGTATCTTTACATAGACTATGTACAATGTGTATACAGATGGCCCACTATCTTTACATAGGCTCTATGTAGAATGTGTATACAGATGACCCACTATCCAGTATCTTTACATAGACTCTATGTACAATGTGTATACAGATGACCCACTATCCAGTATCTTTACATAGGCTCTATGTACAATGCGTATACAGATGACCCACTATCCTGTATCTTTACATAGAGTCTATGTAGAATGTGTATACAGCTGGCCCACTATCTTTACATAGGCTCTATGTAGAATGTGTAAACAGATGACCACGTATCTTTACATAGACTCTATGTACAATGTGTATACAGATGACCCACTATCCAGTATCTTTACATAGGCTCTATGTACAATGTGTATACAGATGGCCCACTATCCAGTATCTTTACATAGGCTCTATGTACAAAGTGTATACAGATGACCCACTATCCAGTATCTTTACATAGACCAGTGATTTTGACACAAAAAGCTGTATACAGGTCAATGACTTGGACCCAAGAAATGTAATAAGTCAGTGGCAAAAGTCAACAAGTCACTTAAACAAAGATTCCGGATGCAGTAAAATTTCGAAGTTAAATCAGTACTTTTAAAAAATCGGGCATAGCTTCCGCACACCCGCCTACCAGCGGGGTCTGGGAGCAATACTGCCATCAACTTCACCCCCCATCCCCCAGACACAAGGACAACTGTCACAAGCGTGCAATGTCTGACCTTTCCCCATGTTGAAATATTTTTTTTTTTAAATAGCCTTGTACTTACTTACCTTTTGTTGAAAAAAACATTGCAAACATGACATTATTTCAACACATATCCAGGGTTATTGGTTTTCGGACACTGAAGAAACAGTCATAGTTTTCTCGCTGATCACATGAACAACTGTAAGTGTAAAACTTCTCATTCACTTATTCATAAAGGACAACTTTATCTTAGAATCAAGCCATCATCTGAGTATTTATAATTTCTGTGTGACACCTACCGTTATGGTGCAAGTATTCGTGATTGAAAACGTATGATGTCCGAAAACCTATGATCCGACGATGATAGCATTGTGTCATGAATAATAATAAAGGCATAATTGATGCTGAAAGTTCTGATCGGAAACAGGACAATCCGCGACGGTTCTCTGGAAACACGATATTTTCGGAGTATTTTTTTAATTTTTGATTATATTTTTACGAGGAAGATGACTCTTTTCGAGGACCACTCTTTTAAAAAACGCGATTTTCAGCGTTTTTGCGGAGATTTCACATTGTTAGATCTAATTATTTACGTATTGAACAAATTGACCAGTCACAGAAGGGACTTCCCGCGCTACATGTATTTCGATTGCGAAAGTTGACATTTAATAGTCAAATTGCCTCAAATATGACTTTAAATGAGTCAAGGTATGGCATTTATGATATGTGTATCCATTCTCTTGCCATAAAGTTCGTTTCAAGGCGTCAATAGCGGTAATCTGACCGTGGTTGCTGTAAATAATGGTGAGTTGTGCGATCTACCGATCACTTCGCATACGAATTCGCCAAAATTATTATAATTATTGAATAAATCTTTTAATAAAATCTATAAGATATATTGCAAACATAAGTCCAGATAAACAATGAACACCTTTTTATAACCAGATATTATAATAATAGGATTAAATTGCGTACTTCAGTTCGGATTTGTTGACTGGTATTTCCGGTGTTACGTGATCGCGGTGATCAGCTGATTATGTTTTTTTATAGATGGGGGGAAAACATCGTGTCATTGGAAAACTTGAGTTTATTATAAACATAAGTAAATTTTGGGACCATGCTTTACCGCCCGCTATAACCGAGTAAGCGTTATTATTGACGGGCGCAATAGCGAGAGAACACTCACTGTATATGATGCTGAAAGCTCGGATCGAAAACAGGACAATATGTGTACTGTATATTCTCTCGATTGGCACTAAACTTTATGAGAGCATTTCATCGGGCATTAAAATCGATACCCTGAGAGGAATAATCCCTACTATTTAATCATGAAATTATGACACGTGTGACGGCTTGCTTAGCATTTCTATCAGTCAAAAGTCCAACAACTTAAACAAACCATCGGTCAAATAGAAATTTTATCGGTCTATGACCGGTGACCGACGGCCATCTGAAACCCTGTAGACTCTATGTACAATGTGTATACAGAAGACCCACTATCCAGTATCTTTACATAGGCTCTATGTACAAAGTGTATACAGAAGACTCACTATCCAGTATCTTTACATAGGCTCTATGTACAAAGTGTATACAGAAGACCCACTATCCAGTATCTTTACATAGGCTCTATGTACAATGTGTATACATACAGAAGACCCACTATCCAGTGATAATACTTGGGTGCTGAGTTGTGATAGTAACTGTGTGTGATGATCTGTATGCAAAAATAATCTGTTCACACAGATTATCTGTAGAATACCTTACCTGTACCGATAATCAACACTTACAGAGTATCTGTACATAGATTATCATTTGTAGAGATTATCTATATAGCAGATTATTTACAAACATGTACATAGATTATATGCAAACAAAGAGTATCTGAATTACTAGATTACCAGTGAATATATAGATATATATATCATCTGTAAACAATATTCATTTCAATATGGATAATCTGTTTACATGATGATACATACACAAGGATGATCTGCATGAATGGAATATCAGCTATACATGAAAAATTAGCATTCAAGCCCAAGACATCATTGCACCTGCCAAATCAGCATCTGGCACCTGCCAAATCAGCATCTGGCAAATCAGCACCTCCTGTCAATTCCACGTTACAAACATAAATCAGGGAAAGAAATCTTTCAATGTTGCCACCCCAGAATGGTGGAAAAAACTACCCTGAGCAAAAGACTATCTCCAATTTTGGACCTGTTCAAATCTCAGCTAAAAACTCTAACATCTGTTTCACGATACAGTGTGTGCTGACTGCAGCTCTTTGAGCATGAACAGTGTGTATGAAGGCTTGTACTAATCAATCATTGACGATGTCGTCGATGTCGTCGATGTCGTCATCATCATCGTCATCTTCATCATCGCCATCACCGTCGCCATCATCATCGTCATCATCCTCATCATCTTCGCCATCATCATTGTCATCATCATCATTGTCATCATCATCATCATGTTTTCATGTAAGATCTGTA